TTTGAAGTATTTAAAAACTATTCATCTAACATTCCTACAAATTTCAAATTATTTATACACTTTAAATACAATTTCATTTTTAAAATTTGATCTACATGCTACTTCTCAGGAGCATTTTCCTACCCTAAATATAGATCACATAATGTTTTCCTTTCAATAGCTAAATCCAGTCACAGAAAAAAAATATTTTTTATTCAGAAAATACATACTTCTTTTAAATTAGAAGGTATTTATATTTACTATAATCTTAATGTCCTCGGTTTTCTGACACTATTCAAATTGTGTTCATGAACATCTTAAAAAACTCACATGTGCAAATGTTCCATACAGTTCAAAAACCTCCAAATTGTGGAAACAGCATTTACCAAGCCAAATTTATACTGTTCTATCAAACTCTGCTACTTGGGAACAGCTCCACATTTTTAATCTTTCATTTTCTTTTTCTTTAGATCTAGAAGAGAATTAAATAGAAATATTCCAAAAGAAGTCAGAAGAGCATAACTCATCTGAATGTTTTTAATGACTCTATATCTCCAGCTTCTTAAGACTAACACTAGAGCATATTTGATCTGTTGTGTTTTCATACCTAAATTATTTTACAAGAGAGTAAGTTTTAATTTCTTTCAAAAGATACAAAGTTAAATCAGTAGTTGACCAGTTTTATCATTTTTATTACTAATAATATTTAGAATGAGTTGACACTGCAATTAATATCTGTAAAGGGTGCTTTGTAAACCATGAAACTCTATAGGAAAGATGAAGATTTGATTATCATTCCAAAAGACTGTTACAAGTTGTTGCAATAACATGTTTTTCCTTTTATGATTCTATGATTCTAACCAATTTTCATGGCAATGCTAAACATCCACTTCAAAGCTTATACACTTAAGGTCCCAAAGATTTATTTTTCAACTTTCCCCTTTCCCTTACATTTACTTCAGTGCTTTATAATTATATCTGAATTTGCAAAATTTAAAGCAAGTTTCATACTTTGATCCTTAAAGTCAATCCATAAATAGAAACTATAATACTGCTTCCATTTTATTGATAAACCAAATTAAAGGACTTCACCATATTTACTGGATTAATAAGTAGCTGTCCAAATGTAGGCCCATCCACTGTCTCCAGTGTTAATTTCTAACCTAAATCTTCTCTTTCTTCACATACATTCCTGAATCAAAATACCGCACCACTTTCAGCTTAGCATGTTTCTGCCCTCACAATACCACAAAATCAGTGTCAAGGTTTGGATAGGCAGGTATTATACCAGAAAACATGATAAGAGTATGACAGAAAATGCTTTACTCTATTAGTGAACATTAGCATGCTAACGTCCTTATACACTATTGAAAAATAAGCTAAAGAAAATGTTTCAAAACTATGACATTTTCAAAAGTTAAATCTATCTATACTACTCAGTAATAGGTTTACAAATGCTGAAGAAATCTGAGCATCAAATACTAGAATAAAACAACTGATCTCTCAGTGGCTTTTCAAGGCTTGTACTCAGTAACATCAGTAAATGATCAAACCATCAATGTTTTCTGTAAACTTACTTGGAAAAAGAAGTACTAAATCACTACTTAAAAATGTAGAATGTATTTTCAAGGATAACATACCTTTCTGAACCTTAAAGGACATGTGATATGGTTTGTAAATACATGGAGTCTTCCTAACTAAAATCTATCAAGTCAAATACACCACAAACCTAAAAGTGTGAGTTTAACTTGAACTACTTTTTTTTTTTTTGGTACTGGGAATTGAACTCAGGACCTGGCTCTTGCCAGGCAGGCGCTTGTGCTGCTGAGCTATATCCCAGGCCACTAAATTTATTTCTAATTTAAAGTTGATCTTTTTAGAGGCTGGGGAGATAGATCAGTGGTCCAAGCATTTGTCTGGCAAGTGCAAGGATCCCAGGTACCACATGCTTTACCATCCCCAGTCCCTGGACATGCCAAGCCAGCCACCAAAACCAGGTGTGGGGCACAGGCCTATAATCCCAGCACTGCAGAGGCTGAGACAGGAGGGTCACTATGAGTCCAAGCTGCACAGCAAGACCCTGCACCAAATAAATAACTAAATAATAAATAACTAAATAAACAAACAAATAAATGACTAAAAAAAGTTTATCTTTTAAGGTACATACTGAAAATTATTTTCCTTTTTTATGTAATGAAAAATCTTTTCCACAAGGAACAAGTTGGAATTTTAAGTGATAGTTTCCACTATCACTACTTTCGTTTAGTACTTTTCTTCTTAAAGAGGATATATATCAACAAGTGGTATTCTAATTCCTTAATGACAAGTATATATTGCTAATATAAAGGTCTTGAGTATAAACCCATCAGCACGATTTGCATTCTTGTTTCACTTACTCGTGCTTTACCCTATGTGTCCAATAGTTTTAAGAGTTCAAAACATATTTATATAAATGTGAGTACATACCTTTTAAATTGAATACATTTCGAAGACAAATTTAGGGATAGAAAAAACAAAATAGAGAGGGAAAGAGGGAAGAGGGAAGAAAGAAGGGAGGACAATGCATTTTCAATGATTATTCTCATCCTTATAAGAATGTAAGTTTCACAATAATCAAATAATCTTATACTTTTATCTGGCACTAAAGTATTTGCAGAATTTATATGCAAGATAGAATGGCTGTTTAAAAGTAGAATTACATGAATAAAAAAGTGTAAATCTCTCAGACCTGCATATAAAATTGAATAAACCTAAGAAACTTATCATTATTCTGTGGCAAACCACTTATAATTAAGCATACCAACATCTACCTGGTTCTTCATACTAATGACCATGAAAAGCAGACATCACAGTAAGAAAATTATTCATCTCAATTACTTTAATTCTTTTTCAATTACGGAGCCATTTGAAGAATACTAAAATCTTTCTATAAATGAGCTCATAAAGATCAAAAGGATGCCAAGTTTCACTGATGATCATGTGATTATGTTAGCTAATGTTGACTTAAAGAGAACATTATTACTGGGATCATTACAATTAAATCTAAACTTTATCAATGAATACATCTGCATGCTGCCAACCTATCTCTTAGCACTTAGGATATTTGTTGGTGAGAAGCTACAACTTTCATTTTTTCTTTGAAATTACAAATGCACAGAATATTTAAAGTACACAGCTTTTAAAAGTAGCTTCTTTCTAATCTTTTTCTTGTATCTACTGGATCTTAAATTTAAAATCTGTTGAATTAGAAAATATCTTACTACAGAAGTAAATTTCTCATGAATACCGAAACTGGTTTAATTTCTCTGAAAAGTAGAATAACAAGCTGCATGCTTCTCCAAAACTGGAAATTAGTTCAATTCCAACTATGTCAATTAGAAAACCTATGAGAACACAGCAATATGAATTAACTAGTCACAAAATCAGTAACTTAAAAAAATCAGTAAGATTAAGATCAAAAAAAGTATTACTTCCATAGTCCTGTATAACAAAGAACTCAATAGTATGCTTCATACATTAAAGCTACTTTTGGCCAAATCAGAACCTAAAGAGCCAATTACTACCTAACTTGGCATCTTTTTTTGAATGATGGAATGCAGTGATTTTCCAGCCATTTCACTCCTCACCTGCCACAGTATTTGACAGAATCTAGGGACTTTTTAAAAATCATCATTACTATGAGAATTGTCTGATCCCCAGGTTCTGTCAAACCCCTTCTGAGATACTGTGTACACTAATGATCTGATGAGAGTGACACTTAACCACACTAAAAAGAACTACCAACTGAGATGACAGATTGGGGAAGGGGCAAATAACTGTAACTGTCCACTTAAACTGTAGTTTCAAACTGCTACAAAGCACAGCCTAAGGTTGAGGCCATTCAGCTAGGAGTCAGGGAAGGAAGCTGAGCTCCAAAGCTAGATGTCAAGAAAGAAATCCTAGACCAATGTAATGTAAAATATCATGACTAACCTCGATTTCTCTGTCATTGCCAACTCAGGAAGTTGACAATGCAAATCAATCAAAAGCAAACCTAAAAAAATGACCACCATGATTTTAGTGGAATTATAGTGAGACAACATAAGAAAGTCTTGACACATGAAGTGGTACAGTTGCTAATCCACTAAACCCTTCAACCAAAGTAAATGTGCGTTAAAAGCAGCAAAGGCAGCAAGACTCCCAGAACAGGAACCTCTCTAACCCTCTTCTCCCATTAGGAGCCTGAGAATGGCAAGCGAGCATCTGAAAGAGCACAGAAGTTGGAGCCACCTATCTGAACAAACACACTCCCTAGGATAAAGGGGAATCATCATTATTCCACCATGGTAGAATGACACTTGCATGTTGCTTCTCTTCTCTCCTTTCTAGATGTTTGTTTTATACTACATTATCAACCTTTCCTGTATCAACTGTAAGGGTATTTTGGGGAGGGAGGTGTTTTAGTTTAGCAAGGACCACAGACAGCCAGAATAAGGGAAAATGAGTTCTGAAAAGACTGACCACCCAGTACTGGGGATAGTAACAACCTACCTGTACAATTGGGGTTTTAGGTGGGCTAGTGAATAGTATAATAGTGTAGCTATTTCTTGAAGTGTACAGTATTAGAAAATATTATTAGCATTAATATTAATATACTCTGTAGCTTGAAAGAACCACCTCTAACATAGGGCAAGACAACAAACTTATCAAAATTTATCCAACACTGGGAAGCTGACTGTATCTGAATTCTTTCTCCCTTTCCCAACATGGCTCATGTTAAGTTCACGAGGGTACCAATAACTTTCCATACACTTTATATTCTAGACAACTAGTTCTTAAAACACCTACAATGATTGTTGTTACTCAAAAGTATTAAAATGTTAAATCTGAAAATCTTAAAAACTAAAAAACAACATACATGCTTATTCAAAATATGAATATAATGATGTTTCTGCTAGCATCAGCAGCATTAATAGCAACTGATCAAGATATGTAAAGCTACAGATACTGTGCTTAAAGTCAAAGTTCTGTACTTTTCATACCATTTTTGTAAGTAGTCCAGTGCCTCCAAACGAGCACCAATCTCAAAAGTGATTCCAGGACGATTTGGGGGCTTTTTACTCATCTTGAGATCCTATTCTTCAGTATTCTCTTTTCACTACCTCAAGAGGAAAAAAGAAAGTTAGATACCAATGCACAAAATGCATAGGCAGTGTACAAAGGCACAGACAAAATTAAACATTTAACAGAACTGAACTGATGGTTACCAGTTATCTGTCATTAAAGGAATAAGCAAAATGCAGGCAATCTTGATAATTAAGAGACACATAAAGACAACTAACTAGGAAAAATAAAGATGTGCCATTACACTTACTAATGGCAAAAGTATCTTCAATTTGAACTTGAAAATACAGGAAAATTTCCAGGACAACTTAAAATGTTTTGGTTGTATCTTTGAAAAATTAAGACAGAGTTTTCTGGAATATGACTAAAATTGTTGCATGAACAAATCAATCAAGTTGTTCATCTAGTCTTAAAAAACATTTCAGTGCTTCATAATACAAAACACTAGGCAGACATTAAGAACACCACAAGGCTGTAGGAAACCCTACACATACTTTTACTCTGATGAAGAATTTAACTACACTTATGATTAGGATGTCTCATTGTCTGTGAACCCCCACTTCGGCAACAAATGATGCAAGAACTTCAACACACAGTTGCAAGGGAAATTTGTCTTTCACATTTCATATGTATATCTAATAATGTTTGAGATTTTCTTAACTCTGACAATTTACTTGTAATATACTAAAATGTACAGTGCCCGCATATTGCCAAGAAAAGTGGCTGTAATATTAAACAAAAAATTGCAGAAGAGCACATTTCCTCTCTGCATCATTCACAGGAAACGTGTTGACCATCCTTTCAGCTCCACCGGCCCCCCAATACATTAAAGTTGGCCCTTTTTCCACTACTAAACACGATCAATATATGTTAAGATGGTCTAATCAAAATACAGCTGGTAACATTTTTTTGTTACTCAAGATTACTAAAGACTGTGCTACAAGTTTAAAAGGCAAAGACACCTAATATTTTATGATGGTTTGGTCACATTCTGAAATGGACAAAAACAATAGGAAACATAAAATTCCAACTCCCCTTCACTCCTTGGAAAAAACAGGCAGAAAAGGGGAAAAAATAGCTTTGACAGCCTCCACTCACCCCCTCAAATAAATGAACACAAATATTTTGGGGGCTGACAGGGCCCGGCAAATACAAGTGAGTTAAAAAGTTAATGAGAATCATGCCCGGTGTGCATTTCGTGTAAAGAGAATAAATGTATGAATACTGTAACAGAACTCTCGTCATTGTGCAACGCACAAGGCAGTTACTCAAATGTGCGTGAAAAAATCCAGGGGGAATTTCTACTGTTCTTCACATTAAGAACTCCGTAAGCGCCAGAGTTTACCAATTACACGAACACGTCCTAGAAGTAGTACAAGTGCCACCGCCACCCCCAGCCACACGCAGGGATGAGGTACCATAAAAGGCAAAATCGCCTTTTTCATGGGAGAAAAGGACAAGATTTGAAGTCGGGAGCTTTCAAAAAATGAAACTATCTACTGGACGGAAAAATTCTATTGGAAGTAAAATGGAAGGGGGCAGAAAGCATAGAGTGAAACCGCCGGGAAGGGGAATAAAGAACGGCGAAACGATTTAAGGATGGTGGAAGCCGTGGGAGATGACAAGTGAGGGAGAGGAGAACCGGGGCGACACACACACACCAAGAGAGTGCGGCGGGTCCGGGAAGGCCCGCACAGCCGGCAGCGAGGGGCAGGAGCGCGCGGCGGGCGGCGGGCGGCGGGCGGC